GAGTTAGATGGTGAAGTGGTTGAGGGAAACCCGATACAAGACGTCAGGGGTAGGAATGATAGGGCCCATGAGGCCAGGAATCAATAATGGCGGCGACTGTGGCTCAAGAGTCGGGACCAGGAGCTGAGACTCAATTCCTGCAAGCACAACTCAGTGAGCACACACGCACGCGCGTGCACACACACACACACACACACACACACACACAACACACACACACACACACACACATACACACACATACACACACATACACACACACCCACACACACCCACACACACCCACACACCCACACACACCCACACACACCCACACACACCCACACACACCCACACACACACACACACACACACACACACACACACACACACACACACACACACACACACACACACACACACACACACACACACAACACACACACCACACACACACACAACACACACCACACACACACACACACACACAACACACACACAACACACACACACACACACATACACACACACACACATACACACACACACACACACCATTGCCAGACTCACACATACACTCCCCCCTCCCCCACCGACATCTCACTCCTTCACCTGATCCCTCCCCTCCCTCTTTCACCCTCCCCTCCCCCACCTCTCCCTCCTTCCCCCTCTCCCTCTCCCACTCACCCACTTGCTTCACTCTCCTTCCCACTCCCCCTCCCCACTACTCTCCCACATAGCCACAGTTCCTCCTCTACCTCCCCCCCCCACACTCTGACATACACAATACTAACCTAACATACAGAATTGCATAGGTTTCCCACTCTGAGGCAATCAGGATAAAACAAAACTGGGTTGCCAGAGAGCAACAAGAAAAACCAAGGAACAGGAGGAGGAAACTGCAAAGGAAGATTGGGCAGCAGAGCTCACAAAAAAGGGAACATGAATGGGAAAAGAAACTAGAAGAACTTAGCATGAGAATGGAAGAGAGGATAGACATGGAAAGCAGGAAGTGGGAGGTGCAAGTCAAAGCAGCAGAGGCCAGGATACAGAGTTTAGAAGAGGAACTGAAAAATCTGAAACAGCCTAAAGAACTAAAGAACATTTTGGGATTGACAACAGACTGCTACCTCAGTCACAAATAAGGGGACTGTAGGGAAAGGAGCAAAACTGCATGTAGAAGCTCAATCAGTGGAGACTGTAGTAAATGAAAGAGCTAAGCTATATGTGGAGGCCCTAACAGACCACAGCAGAGCCCAGGGAAAGCCGAGAAGGGAAAATGACAGGCCACTGAGCCCAAGTACATTAGCTAGTGAAACTGAAGAAAGGAAAGCTGCAATGGAGGAAATCAAATTGAATGAGGGAATACACAGGGATATGCAGTGGGAGAATGAAAGGGTGAGGTCAGTCTTTGTGTATGGGCTCCAGGAAGTTGAAGGTGAAACATATGAAGCAAGAAAACAAGGGGAAAAAAAGCAATTGAAAGCATCATGAAAGCAATAGGAGAAGACGACATGACCCAGCTGGAAAATTTTCGGAGAACAGGGGGGTCTGTAAAAAAAAGAACCCGCCAGTGAAAGTGACCTTCAAGGCAGAATCGACTCAGAACAGGATCCTACAGGAGAAAGCACGATTAAGGGACATGCCGGCATACAGGAAGGTGTATCTCGACTGCGACAGAACACAAGCAGAAAGGCAGAAATAGAGAGAGATGGTACAAAGGCAAAAGGAGGAAAGAGAAGGGATGGAGAAGACAGACAGGAGATCCCAGACACAGGAAGATCAAATACAGCCTCCCTCACAACTTCCTATAGAAGCCTCCCAACCAGGTCAACCCCAGTGCAACCAAACACTCTAAACCAAAACACCCATGCCACATCCAATGCCCCCACCCACTGCATTACAAACTCCACCCCCACAGCAACCACCCATAGTTCCTTATCAGGTCTCCCACTTCCCCAACCCCAATACACCTCCCATACCACAATCTTAGAAAAGAAGTTGAAGGTGTGGTATACAAATGCAGATGGAATAACAAATAAGTATAAGGAGTGGCACGAAAGAATCAAGGAGACATCCCCAGACATAATAGCACTCACAGAAACAAAACTCACCAGAATAATAACAGATTCAATCTTTCCATCCGGATATCAAATCCTCAGGAAAAACAGAGGGAGGAGAGGGGGAGGAGGAGTTGCACTGCTCATTAAAAATTAGTGGGGGTTTGAGAAAATGGAAGGAATGGATGGCACGGGCGAAAGGGACTACTTAGTAGGAACAATCCAGTCTGAGGGACATAAGGTGATAATTGCAGTAATGTACAACCCACCACAGAACTGCAGGAGGCCAAGAGAAGAATACGATGAGAGCAACAGAGCAATGGTCGACACACTAGCCGAGGTGGCCAGGAGAGTACACATGGGGGGAGCAAAGTTACTAGTTATGGGTGATTTCAATCACAAGGAGATTGGAAAACCTGGAGCTCCATGGGGGTCCCGAAACATGGAGAGCCAAGATGATGGATGTGGTACTGGAAAACCTCATGCATCAACATGTTAGAGACACTACCAGAGAGAGAAGAGAAGATGAACCAGCAAGACTGGACCTTGTATTCGCCTTGAGTAGTTCTGACATCGAGGATATCATGTATGAAAGGCCCCTGGGAGCTAGTGATCATGTGGTTCTGTGCTTCGACTACATAGTTGAGCTCCAAGTGGAGAGAGCAGCAGGAATAGGGTGGGAAAACCAAACTACAAAAGGGGGAACTACTCAGGCTTGAGGAACTTCTTTCAAGACATTCAGTGGGAGAGGGAACTGACAGGAAGACCAGTACAGGAAATGATGGACTGTGGCAACAAAATGCAAGGAGGCAGAGGAGAGGTTTGTTTCCAAGGGAAACAGAAATAATGGGAAGAAATGAACGAGTCCTTGGTTCACCCAAAGGTGTAGGGAGGCAAAAACTAGGTATACTAGAGAATGGAAAAGGTACAGAAGACAGAGAACTCAGGAAAATAAAGAGATTAGCCGAAGAGCCAGAAACGAATATGCACATATAAGAAGGGAGGCTCAGCGGCAATACGAAAATGACTTGGCATCGAAAGTCAAGACTGACCCGAAGCTGTTGTACAGCCACATCAGGAGGAAAACAACAGTCAAGGACCAGATAATCAGACTGAGGAAGGGTGATGGGGAATTCACAAGAAACGACCGGGAGGTATGTCAGGAGCTCAACACAAGATTTAAAGAGAGTATTTACAGTGGAAATCAGTAGGACTCCAGGAAATCAGAGCAGGGGGGTGCACAGCAAGTGCTGGATGAGGTACATATAACCAAGGAAGAGGCGAAGAAGCTGCTATGCGAACTTGACACCTCAAAGGCGGTGGGACAGACAACATCTCTCGTGGGGTCCTTAAAGAGGGAGCAGAGACATGTGTGTGTACCATTAACAAAAATCTTCAACACATCATTTGAAACTGGGCAACTCCCCAAGGTATGAAGATGGCAAATGTAGTCCCTAATTTTAAAAAGGGAGACAGACATGAGCACTAAACTACAGACCTGTATCACTAACGTGTATAGTATGCAAGGTCATGGAGAACTATCATCAGGAGGAGAGTGGTGGAGCACCTGGAAGAGCAAGTGTATAATTGACAACCAGCATGGTTTCAGGGAAGAAAATCCTGTGTCACAAAACCTATTAGAGTTTTATGACAAGGTGACAGAAGTAAGACAAGAGAGAGAGGGGTGATTGACTGCATTTTTTGGCTGCAAGAAGGCCTTCGACACAGTTCCTCACAAGAGGTTACTGCAAAAGCTAGAGGATCAGGCACACATAACAGGAAAGGCACTGCAGTGGATAAGAGAATACCTTACAGGGAGGCAAACAACGAGTTCATGGTTACGTGACGAGGTGTCAAAAGTGGGAGCCTGTGACAAGCGGGGTTCCACAGGGTCAGTCCTAGGACCTGTGCGTTCTTGGTATATGTGAATGATATAACGGAAGGGATAGACTCAGAAGTGTCCTTGTTTGCGGACGATGTGAAGTTAATGAGAAGAATCAAATCGGAGTGAGGATCACGCAGGACTACAAAGAGACCTGGACAGGCTACAAGCCTGGGTCCAGCAACTGGCTCCTTGAGTTTAACCCCGCCAAATGCAAAGTCATGAAGATTGGGGAAGGCGCAAAGAAGACCACAGACACAATATAGTTTAGAATGGCCAAAGTCTGCAAACCTCAATCAAGGAAAAAGATCTGGGGGTGAGTATAACACCGAGCATATTCCTGAGGCGCACATCAATCAGATAACTGCTGCAGCATACGGGCGCCTGGCAAACCTACGGATAGCGTTCCGATACCTCAGTAAGGAGTCGTTCAAGACTCTGTATACCATTTACGTCAGGCCCATACTGAGTATGCAGCACCAGTTTGGATCCACCACCTAGTCAATCACGTCAAGAAATTAGAGAAAGTGCAAAGGTTTGCAACAAGACTAGTCCCAGAGCTACGGGGATTGTCCTACGAAAAAAAGGTTTAGGGAAAATCGGCCTGACGACACTGGAGGCCAGGAGGGTCAGGGGAGACATGATAACGACATATAAAATACTGCGCGGAATAGACGAGGTGGACAAAGACGGGATGTTCCAAAGATGGGACACAGACACGAGAGGTCACAATTGGAAGTTGAAGACTCAGATGAATCAAAGGGATGTTAGGAAGTATTTCTTCAGTCATAGAGTAGTCAAGCCGTGGAATAGCCTAGAAAGTGAAGTAGTGGAGGCGGGAACCATACATAGTTTTAAGGCGAGGTATGATAAAGCTCATGGAGCAGGGAGAGAGAGGACCTAGTAGCAATCAGTGAAGAGGCGGGGCCAGGAGCTATGAATCGACCCCTGCAACCACAAATAGGTGAGTACACACACACACACACACACACACACACACACACACACACACACACACACACACACACACACACACACCACACACACACATACCGGGCCACCATCCAATGGTCAAATACCTGTCGCTTGCACCTCGACAGAGTTGCACCTGCGGGCAGCAGAGTGTAAGATTAACACCGTTCTGCCCTTGCGATAGCGGGACTCCTTGAATAAGCTGCAAGCAAGCGTCGGGGCGGAGTTATCCCGGCGAATCCGGGCCATTAAGCTGGTCCCCTGGATTCCTTTAGTGACGGGAGAGGAGCGTGGAGTGGTTTATGGAGGTCGGGAGGTAGGAGGTAACGGAGAGGGCAGGCGTCGACTCAGTCACGGCCTCTGGTGATGGACTGACCACTCGGGCAAGTGCTCTCTCTGATGTTTGGCGCCTGTGTTGCGCCACTACCTGCTTGTGATTAGCTATTTGTGGTTACAGCAGCAGAGTTATGATGCTGGTGTTCCGTCTTCAGTGTTTGTAGGTACAACAGCAGAGCTATGGTGCTGGTGTACCGTCTCCAGTGTTCGTAGTTACATCAGCAGAGCTATGATGCTCGTGTACCGTCCCCATCATTCCAGTATAACGAACAGGAAATGCAAACTCTATTGGGTCGAGTCAGGTGCTTCATTGGCTGTGGGCGGAGTTTTAATGACAGCATTGTCCTGCTAAGGTAGAATGTGTCTGACCAGGATTTTCGAGATTATAAGGCTGCCTCTGTGTTGAGAGATGGTGTTGGTGGCAGCCACGAGACCTGATTCCATTCATTGTCTGAGATTTAGGTCTGATTCTTCGATGTCAGGTTTGGCTTCTTGGAACTTCCTGGGATGACCGAAAGTGTTGTGTGTGGTGCAGACATTGGTCAAATCCTTCCCTTGTCAAGTGTATTTACGTTCATTGATGACTCGTTTTAGGTTCCTCCAAGTGTAGTATAAGACTTGCTCACGTGCCTTCTTAAATCTTCACGTATAGTTTATGATATTCTCCTTGTAGAATACAGTAATGTAGATAGGACTGGATTCACTTTGTTGTGTATTCTTCTCCAGTACAGTATGTCGCTACTTTCTTCAACAGCCTCCTGTGTGTAAAGTCTTACTGAAGTCCATATACCCAATATCGTATTCACTGGTAAAAAACACATGTGCTGAGAATAGAATTTTAGTCTGGAAAAAAGTGCTGTGCTTTATTTGAGCACTAACAGACTCTCAAGACCTATTTTCCTCGCAGAAGAATACTGTTATATACACAGCACTTTCTACATCACTGATCCTCACTGCTACCCAGTCGAGCTGGTAAATAAAACACATGTGGAACTCTTCCGTTTCTTTATTATGAAGACATTTCGCCAGCCAGCGGCTTTTTTTTCTTTAATTCCGAGCAGAAATTATGCACTGGAGATAGTGGTAGATGAATAAATTCCTGAGCCCTGATAGATCTTCAGTTCCTTAACCTTGATCAAGAGAGGAAGGTGATCGCCACGTCTACTCTCACAGTAAAAACCAGACAGTTTTCTTTGGCTGTGGATTAAAGTTTATAAACACAACAAGTGCAAAATGAATAAGTAAATAGATGCACACGAGAGAAAATAAACAACAATGTCAGGGGTCCCTTTTAAGTGTGAGGCCAGGGCCACATGGCCCTCCTGTCCCCCCCCCCCACTCCCTGTGAGTGGCCCTGAGTCTAACCTGAATCTATTGTTGAAATAACATAAGAAAAGAGTTAAATAATGGATTCAAAAGAGAGAGGAATGCAGTTAAAACCCGAGTGGCTCTGTCACTCACTGATAACACGAGCAGAGATAAGCATGTTTACGGAGTAACTTGCAATGTAAACAGACTGACTGATGCTATAAACGCCAGGCTTAGGATTGGTTACAAGTACTTCTGGCAGTTTGGCAGAAACACAGATGATGATCAAACTAAATGCAAAGTATGTGGCCAAGCCTTAAGGTCACACACACACACACACCTCCAAGGAGAGGTATGATAAAGCTCATGGAGCAGGGAGAGTGACCCAGTAGCGGCCAGTGAAGAAGCAGGGCCAGGAGCTGTGACATGACCCCTGCAAACCACAACTAGGTGAGTACACACACACACACACACACTGTGGAGTAACCAAAGCTACTTCACAGCCACATAAGAAAAAGACGAGTGTAAAGGAATACGTGATAAGACTGAGGAAGAGGGAAGTAACGCTGACGGAGAATGAGAGAGAGAAGTATGTAAAGTATTTGGTGTAAGATTAAGAGAAGTCCGCACACAAGAAAGTGGAGAACTACAGGAAGGTACTGTAGTCAGAACAGATAAGAACATAAGAAAGAAGTAGCACTGTAGCAGGACTACGAATGTCGGCCTACCTTTCTTGTGGCCCACATGAGTGTGAACCGCTACACCTGAACCAGGTGTCGTGAACCACTATACCTGAACCAGGTGTTGTGAACCACTATACCTGAACCAGGTGTTGTGAACCACTATACCTGAACCAGGTGTCGTGAACCACTACATCTGAAAAAGGTGTTGTGAACCACTACACCTGAACCAGGTGTTGTGAACCACTATACCTGAACCAGGTGTCATGAACCACTACATCTGAAAAAGGTGTTGTGAACCAATACACCTGAACCAGATGTTGTGAACCACTATACCTGAACCAGGTGTCATGAACCACTACATCTGAACCAGGTGTTGTGAACCACTACACCTGAACCAGGTGTCGTGAACCACTACACCTGAACCAGGTGTCGGGAACCACTATACCTGAACCAGGTGTCATGAACCACTACATCTGAACCAGGTGTCGTGATCCACTACACCTGAACCAGGTGTCGTGAACCACTACACCTGAACCAGGTGTCGTGAGCCACTATACCTGAACCAGGTGTCATGAACCACTACATCTGAACCAGGTGTCGTGAACCACTATACCTGAACCAGGTGTCATGAACCACTACATCTGAACCAGGTGTCGTGAACCACTACATCTGAACCAGGTGTCGTGAACCACTACATCTGAACCGGGTGTCGTGAACCACTACATCTGAACCAGGTGTCGTGAACCACTACATCTGAAACCAGTGTCGTGACCACTACACCTGAACCAGGTGTCGTGAACCACTACACCTGAACCAGGTGTCGTGAACCACTATACCTGAACCAGGTGTTCGTGAACACTACACCTGAACCAGGTGTCGTGAACCACTACACCTGAACAGGTGTCGTGAACCATACACCTGAACAGGTGTCGTGAACCACTACATCCGAACCAGGTGTCGTGAACATACACCTGAACCAGGTGTCGTGAACCACTACATCTGAACCAGGTGTCGTGAACCACTACACCTGAACCAGGTGTCGTGAACCACTACATCTGAACCAGGTGTCGTGAACCACTACATCTGAACCAGGTGTCGTGAACCATTACATCTGAACCAGGTGTCGTGAACCACTACACCTGAACCAGGTATCGTGAACTACTACACCTGAACCAGGTGTCGGGAACCACTATACCTGAACCAGGTGTCATGAACCACTATATCTGAACCAGGTGTCGTGAACCACTACACCTGAACCAGGTGTCCTGAACCACTATACCTGAACCAGGTGTCATGAACCACTACACCTGAACCAGGTGTCGTGAACCACTACGTCTGAACCAGGTGTCCTGAACCACTACACCTGAACCAGGTGTCGTGAACCACTACACCTGAACCAGGTGTCGTGAACCACTATACGTGAACCAGGTGTCATGAACCACTACATCTGAACCAGGTGTCGTGAACCACTACATCTGAACCAGGTGTCGTGAACCACTACACCTGAACCAGGTGTCGTGAACCACTACACCTGAACCAGGTGTCGTGAACCACTACACCTGAACCAGGTGTCGTGAACCACTACACCTGAACCAGGTGTCGTGAACCACTATACCTGAACCAGGTGTCGTGAACCACTACACCTGAACCACGATACATTTAGTCAACTATAGTGAGGTAAGTAATACTTCCTTCAGGATTCTCCTGGGACTCCCTCTCTACCTCCATCGGGACTCTCCTGGGACCCTCCCTCCTATGGGACTTAACTGGGTCTCCCTCCCTAAAGGTCATAATCATAACCATATATTTTAAAGTGGTGGACTGATAATCCAGTGGAAGGCCTCGGTCATATGACCAAAAGCTCCAGCTGCTGGTCACATGACTAAGACCCGCGTTAGGAAACACTTGCCCTGTTTCCTGACAAACCTTACCTACCTACCTGGAGGGTATTTCGGGGGTCAACGACCCAGCGGCCCGGTCCTTAACCTAACCTCACTTCTTCCCTCCTTCAGTATTAGTAATAAAATGATTGTGTTCTCCAGGGTGCGTATATAAGACAATTTAATTGATAGTAACTCGAATACCGTGTTTTGTTCACACACACACACACACACACACACACACACACACACACACACACACACACACACACACACACACACACACACACGACCCGACGTGCCCCGAAACGAGGTGCTAATAACCCGACTGGGCACGCATTACTTCTTCATTAGCGACGTCGGTCCCACTAATGATAAAGCCCAGAGTGGGGACCGACTCCCGTCTCTCTCTCAGGACCAGACGATTACAAGAGTCACAGACCACCTAGGCCTGCCCAGCCTACCAGCCCACCTACGGAGGAGGAGGGGGAGGGGAAGACAACACGACAGGAGGGGTATATTTACGACCACAACCACCCCTGGTTCAGTTACCACCAAACCTGCCATATTGAATCTTGAAGAGAATTACTCCCAGGGGATTGATCTATATTCTCGTATAATTGGAACTGCTCTCCCCTTCCTCGGATCAAACTAGATTACCTCTCGTTCCCCCCTTAAGAGATATTTGACCCCTACGTAGGAGATTGCGTACATACAGCTTCATTAAGTATTGACTTGATAAAGCTCTACACAGAGCGAAAAATTACCTGATAAAACCTTAGAGTGAAACAACTCGATTCAAACATCGAAACACAATTTCGTGAAGCTTCACACAGAACAAAACCTGTGCAACCTGTGTGTCTGTCTTCACGCCCAAGCTGTTTGTGTGTGTGTCAGTGTAAGTTTATTCAGGTATACACAAATACAGTTACATAGATTATCATACATAGCAGCTTATGTGTAGAGAACCTGGGATAACCCAAAAAAGTCAGTCAGTGACTAATTCCCATTGGGGTCCTTTAGTGAGCCCAAGGAGTAGGGTGGAGGGTCGATCCTCCGTGTGGGAATCCTGGCTTGATCTCATAAGTAAGTGTATTTAGGTACAGGTGCACATAGGTACAGTTATTATGCGTAGTAACTAAGATGTGTGTAAATTACCTAAGATAACCCCAAAAAGGTCAGACGCAGTGACTTATTTCTACTGGTGTCTGCCACTAGTCAGCTCGTAGTGGCAGTGA